GCTCCCCCGCCCCCCGCCCCGCCCCCGCCAAGGCTCTGCCTTCCAGGCAGCCTCGGGCCTCCTCCCTGCCTGGCCCTGGGGCCCTGGCTGTCCCCCCCACGCTGCAGGTCACCCTCTCTGAGCGTGCACCCTGGGGTGGCCGTAGCATCTGCACATATTGCAGGCTTCACTGTGCATCTCTGAGGGTCAGTTCCCGGGGGGCAGGCCAACTCCTCATCGTGTGTGTGAAGTGGGTCCCACACTGATTCTGTGACCCTGTGTGTGGGGGTGGGGGTGATTTTGGTGTGGGGTGTGGCGAAGGTGACATTTCTGAATCCGAGTGTTGGATGTTTGTGTATCTGTCCAACTGTCCTCACCACCCTGATGGCTGAGGGAGGCTGCCAGGCCCGACCTGACTTACTGTCTCACACCCGGGCACAGGCTGGTGGTTCTGCCAAATGAAGACCAAGCGAGGCTGGGTCCCAGCCTCCTACTTGGAGCCCCTGGACAGTCCTGATGAGGCAGAGGACCCAGAGCCCAACTACGCAGGTGCCCCGCCCCCCGCCCCCCCCTACCATGGCCATAGGGTGTGGGAGGAAGCGGGGGAGGGGCAGGGGCATATTGAGAAGCCAGAAGTGACTCCTTTGGGGTTGGATATAATGGGGGCTGGGCAGAGGGGGAGTCAGGGCTGAGACCCCACAGTTTGGCTTGGGGGTTCTGGTAGGCAGTGGGCAGGGCAGGGAACTAGGAGGAGGAATAGAGGTGGGGGGTGATGAGGTCAGCTTGGGATCCTGGGTGGCAGTTGGCTAGGGCCAGGTCCAGTGGGAAGCTGAATGGTGAGCAGACCTGAGGCTCAGGAAAGAGGGTTGCCTGGAGGAAGGGGTACCATGCTGACTGAAGGGAAAACTGGCAGCTCCTGGGCTGTTTGGAGCCCTTGTGGAGGTTGTCAACAGTTAGAATTGGTTACCCGTATTTTAAAATGGAGAGATTTCATAATTTTATGTGGATTTATGCTTCCTCTTTAAAACTGGAAAAGGTGTGTATGTGGGGCCTGCAGCCCCACATGCCTACAGCTGGCGGGAGTTGAGTGGCTCAGGTGCCCTGTGGGCAGCGCTGCAGTCCGCACTTCCGGCAGATCCACTCCTCTGCGTGCCTGAGCAGGGCTCTGAAATTGTGGGAGCTCTTGGCCCCCCGGTGTGGATGGTGGGTCTAGAGCAGTGGTTCTCAATCTTCCTAATGCCGCGACCCTTTAATACAGTTCCTCATGTTGTGGTGACCCCCAACCATAAAATTATTGTCGTTGCTCCTTCATAACTGTAATTTTGCTACTGTTGTGAATTGTAATGTAAATATCTGATATGCAGGATGTATTTAGGCGACCCCTGTGAAAGGGTCGTTCGACCCCCAAAGGGGTCGCGACCCACAGGTTGAGAACCGCTGGAGAGGGTAGAGAGGGCAGAACTCCAGGATGTCCCCATAGGGGCTGGGAGGAGCCTGCAGATCAAGAAGGACCAGCTGGAGGAAGCCCCAGGCCCAGAGAGGAGAGGAAGGGTAATGAGTCCTGTGCAGGGCAGATCCTCACACCATGCCCCCCCACCCCCTGTTGATCAGGTGAGCCCTACGTCACCATCAAAGCCTACACTGCTGTACAGGAAGACGAGATATCCCTCCAGGAGGGCGAAACCATCGAGGTCATTCATAAGCTCTTGGACGGCTGGTGGGTCATCAGGTAGGAGAGCACCCCCTCCCTCCCACTTCACCAGCCCTGGCCTGGGGCAGGGTCTGTTTGGGCTCAGGGTGGACATGGGTTGACTTAGCTGTGTGACACTGGGTAAGCGACTGCGCCTCTCTGGGCTCAGTGTCCATAATGGGAGCCGATGAATGATGGTCCCACCCTACTTGTCTCTGGGGTTGTGTCCTCGTCAGAGCGGGCACATTTTTCCTTTGTGACTTGGGTCACTTCCCCTGACCAGTCCATCTATTATCCCTTCTCCAGCAACACAACTATTTTTAAATCTTTCCCTGAAATTCCACACTAATTCCTCCCTCTGCGCCCCCACCCCCTTCCCCACCCCCCCGCCCCCCGGCCCAGGGGAGACAGAGACATGTCCCTGGAGCCACTGGGCCTCTCCAGGTCCTTGATGTGCTTTCACAGCCTCGGGTCACAGGGCCAGCCCATGACTCAGTGAACTTGTGGCCACAGCACCCATCTTCAGCATGGTCCTGGGCTGGAGGCTTTGAGACGGGGTTTCTTTCTTTTCTTTTTTCTTGATTTTATTATTTTTATTTTTTCCCCATCACCATTTATCCAATCCATATCTTCTTCCACCTCCACCCACCCAAGACAGGGTTTCCCAACCTTTTAGATCCACATGTAGTTAACCCCATATCACACACCCCTGAGAATCTGCTTGTGATTCTTCCACCGTCCAAGAAAAACCAGTTTTACTGAGTGAAGTTTGTATTTTGTAAAGTTTCCCCCTCCCCCATCCTAAATAGAATAGAATAGGGGGGAAAATCTAGCCAACAAACGGTGCTGGAACAACTGGATATCCATATGGAAACAAACAAACCTAGAACCCTACCTCACACCATACACATTTGGGATGGATCACAGGTTTTACAAAGATCAAAAACCCTAAACTCAAAAGCTTTTGGAAGAAAGCATAGGGAACGTGATGAGAACGTGATGAGTGGGGTTACTTAGTACACACAGGCAACCACCAGAGAAGAAAAACTGACATATGCAACATTGCAGATGTTCGATAGCAAACACGTGTCCCCGGAAAGATCCAGACCTGCTAATTTTCTCCTCCTCCCAACGTCTCAGCCCGGAGGGCCTGTGCTGCACAGATGAGGAAACCGAGGCCCCGTGGGGCAGGGTCTGGTGCTGGCCAGCGGGTATTTGCCACTCCCAGCTGCCTTGAACCCAGCCGTGTAAAGGGAGCCCCGATCTTCCCACTGACTGGACTTCCATCTCTGCTGCAGGAAAGAAGACGCCACAGGCCACTTCCCGGCCATTTACCTGCAGAAGGCGGGGCAGGACATAGTTCAGGCCCAGCGCCAGATCAAGAGCCGAGGGGCGCCGCCCCGCCGGTGAGTCCTGGGGACTGGGGGCGCCGGGCGGGGCTCAGGAAGGTGCACCACGGGTTCCCTCTGTGGGCCTTGGCTTGGCAGGACTGGGGCGGGGGACACAGAGCTGGGTTCTGAGCCTGGCGGGGGAAGGCAGCACCCTCACCGGGGCGTAGGAGAGCAGGGTGTGCGGTGGGGGAGCACAC